TTGGAAGACAATCGATCTCAGCTGATACCGACCTGCAAGCCGGCTGGAGGTGAGATATTGTAACACAAGGCAAGCTCTCCCCTGTAAGCCTTCGGGGAGGCTCAGAGTCCAGGTCCAGGAGAGGACCAGACTCTGCTGAGATAGCAGAGATCTCCTGGACCACAGCACTTCCTGGTGTCCCAAGAAAGCAAGCTGGAGACCCCCTCCATGACCAAGTTCCCTTTGCCTCTGGATTTAGGCCTCTGTACTCACATGGCACCCCTGTAACCTCCCCTACCTGGGATCTCTGAACTACCCAGCCACAACCAGGGATTCAGCATCTGGTCTGGCAGAGCCAGTCTCCGGAACTCTCAGGTCTATGGGTCGGCAATTTGACACATCTGGGAGGGGGGGAGTGTTAACTCAAGGATTGCCTTCATCAGATTAGCCCGTTGGGGTGTTTGTCTTCATTCTCTTGATTGCTAATCGATGCCAGAGGGCCCCAGCAGGTTGTGGGAGGTGCTGTCCTTGGGCAGGTGGTCCTGTGCTATACAGAAAGGCAGCTGAGGGGCTGAGGAGCTCATATTCCTGCTGCACAGGACCCCCAGCTTGGTTCCCAGCCGCCACTTTGGGCTGCTTACAATTGTAACACCAGCTCCAGGAATCTGATACACTCTTCTGGATACTGGGGTCACCTGTACTTAACACATGCATGTACGTACACATACACACACACACACACACACACACACACAGAGAGGAGAGAAACCACTACACGCTGGCCCTCCATGACCGTTTTGCCCTCCATGGCCTCTGCTTCAGTTCTTGGCCTGAGTTCCTGCCCTGACTTCTCTCAGCCATGAACTAACTGTGAGCCCTGAGATGAAATAGACCCTTTCCTCCCCAACTCACTTTTGGCTGGTGGTGTTTTATCACAGCAACAGAAAGGCAAACTAGAACACACACCAACTTCAGGGAAACCTTCCTCGCCTGGCCCCCAGTCCCTCTCCCTGCCAGCTCTCCTGAGGCAGGTCCCCATAGTTTGGGGCCCCTTTCCTGGCTTTGTCCCTGAGTTGCCTGGGCAGGAGTTTCCTGCCCTGGAGAATTCCCGGATCCTCCTGGGGAGGACACAGTGTAGCCTGGGAACTCTGGGAGACAGGGAAGTTGGGGACTGTCGACAGGCAGCACCCCTTAGGTTAGCTTAAATAATCCTTCCTTCCCTGCCCTGGAGTCCAGCACGGTAGCCTCCACACTGACTGTTCTGTGGGCACAAACTGGGGACCCGAGACCCTAGTGATCCGGCTCGCTCCAGGAATGAGGGAGGGGGACGGGATCTGGGGACGGACAGACAGCCCAGGAGGTGAATGTCAAACTAAGCTTTTATTAATAACATCATCTGCAGGAGTCTGACAGGTAGGGACGGTGCTGGGCAGGCCCACCACGTACACAGCATGTTACTCATCCCCAAACCCGGGGCCCCAGGGACTCCTTGCATGTGTCTCAAGAAGAGGCACACGCCCGGACTGGGGTCCCAGGGGTGTGGGCGCGGTGGGCTCCTGCCAGCACCGGCCTCACTCTGGAGGGGGCCAGTTTCCCATCTCGTCCATCTCCTCCAGGAGCAGATGCTGCGGGCAGACATGGGTGGAAGACGATAGATATTCTCTGCTCTGCATTCCGAACCTTCCCATCTGCCCTCCCCCACCCCCACCCCGCTACCTCCCTTCCCTTTTGCCTCTGTCCTGGGGGATTCTGCATACTTTCTTCCAGCTGAATGGCGCTTCAGCTGCCTTAATGAACATCCCCTACCCCCCCTCCCCCGGCATTTCCCCCAAAAGCTGAGGAGCCAGTTCTGTCCCCCTTAGCACATGGTCCTAAGGGCTGAGGAGGAGGAAGTGGTACGGAGGCATGGGACTCTGAAACACCCGCTACAGGATGTGTTGAGGGTGTAGTTCTGGCCCCCAAAGAGAGGCGGGGGGGGTACCCCAACATGCACTATCCAGAAACTCCTCAGTGTCTTTGGTGCTGTCAACGCTAGCCCATGACTGTGAGCCCAGGATGTCAAGGTCCTGGAGGAGGACAGGTCCCAGGGTTGGAGCGAAAATTAAATGCCCACACGGCTCCGAGGTATGTGGGGTATCGGGCTCCTGGGGCATGGGCGTGTGGGAAGGTTTAGTTCATCCTCAGTGCCCAGGAGGTGTGTGAATTCCTGGCAGAGTCGAGCCACCGTCCCCCAGCACTGTGGAGTCCTTCTGCCCTGCCAAGTCCCAAGTCAAGATGACACAGCAGGAAGGCCTGACCAGACTCTGGTTGTGAGCCCTGGCGCTTCCCTTCTGTGAGCCAAGTACTGTCGGGGTGGAGAGAAATGATGAGTGGACGGAAATCGGAACTGGCCCGGGTGATTCGTGGGGTCACTCCCCCAGGGCCCGTGTCTGTGTGTCTGCAGGCCTTGGTGTGAATGGGGGAGAGCAGAAGAAGAGCCACGTTCTTCAAGGGCTCGCCCATCCTGACAAATCTCCCTGTCTGTAATTCCAGCACTGGGGAGGGTAGAAGCAGGAGGGACAGAAGCCCAAGGCCAGCCTGGGCTATATAGTGAGGCTAGCCTGGGCTACAACATCTGAGAACCCATCGCAACAAACAAAACAAAAAGATAAAACAAAAGAGGGACAATACTGGTTCAGGTGTGTGTGTGTGTGTCATACCTGGCCGTCCACCATGCCAGCCTCCTCCAGTGTGATGTCTGGCTGGGTCAGCAGCTCCCGGCCCTCGGGGTTGCCCACCTTCCAGAGGCGAGCCTCTCGTTGCACTGCCAGAATCTTCTTCAGCTCCGACTCCACGAAACCTTCGAGGCAAAGGGAAGAGCCGTGGGCCATGAGCCACGGGGACGGGGACTTGGTGGCACCCACAGACCTTCAGAGCCACCAGGTTTCCTGTAATGCGGATGACAACCAACTCCTCTGCAGGGAGCAAGGGGGGGAGTGGGGCTGGTCCTCAGAAAGACAGGAACAGAACACATGGGGGCTTTCAGCTCAGGAGGGTTGAGGCAGGTGGATCACAAGTTCAAGACCAGCCAGACAACTTAATGAACGTGTTTGGTTTTGGTTTTGGTTTTTTTTTGTTTGTTTGTTTGTTTTTGTTTTTTTGGTTTTTCGAGACAGGGTTTCTCTGTGTAGTCTTGGCTGTCCTGGAACTCACTCTGTAGACCAGGCTGGCCTCGATCGAACTCAGAAATCCGCCTGCCTCTGCCTCCCAAGTGCTGGGATTAAAAGTGTGTGCCACCACTCCCCGGCAATGAGTGTGTTTAAAACAATAATAATAATAAAAAAAAACAGACCCCTCAAACCCTAAACTCTGTGAGATTCTCAAGCAAGCTATCTGGACGCGAGGAGAGGGTCACAGAACCCCGACTGCTGGCCTACTGGCCACAGGCTCAGGCAGATTCCTAAGCTTGGGAACAGAGTCTAAAGAGGAGGACAGCTTGGGACCTGATGCTGTCTCCAGCAAGTCGTGTCTCCAGGGCTGAACTGGAGGGGTCTGGCACCCCGAGGACTCTGCACTGCCTGTCAGCTGGCTGGTGTGTGGGTGAATGAGGCCACACATTCAACATGACCGAGCGTTCAGGGGAGATGGAGTTTTCCATCCAGGCATTTCCAGAGTGTGGGGCAGGCAGAGCCCAGGAGTCCCGAGCGCACGCCACTCGCTTCTGGGTTTGGTGATCTGGGTCAGATCTGCAGAGCCTTCAGGTGCCTGAAGCTAGCCAGCCAGAGACAGCCTCAGACGCTCACACTTCATTTTCCCTGGGCAGGGCACGCCTAGGGAAGGTACTGCCACCAACGGTCTGAGACGGAGTCCCAGCTCTGTCACTAGTGGCTGTGTGATCTGGGCAAGTTACCCAACCTCTCTGTGCTTCTGTTCCCACGCTGTTGGTGGAGTGATTAATGGCAGCCACCTCAGAAGTGTCAATTCACTTTTTTAAAAAGAATGCCCCCCCTCATGGCTGTGTAAACATAAACAGTATTTGGGAGGTATTCTTGCTATTACTGCTTTTACTGTTTTTTTTTTTTTTTTCTAACGTGTGTATCTGCCCACAGCTGCCTATGGAAGCCAGTAGAGGGTGTCGGATCAGGCAGTGGGGAGAAACCCAGCA